AAAAAAAAAAAAAAAAAAAGAATGACTTTAAATGCTATTATCTATGCCATTGACAGCCAAAAAAGAAAAGGAAGAAGATATATTTGTTAAACACTGTATACAGGCGACTGTGTGAGAACACACACAAAACATAACTTACAAGAACTTGCATGAAATATTACTGCATGGAAGTTGGCATCATACCAGCAAAGTAGGCACCGCATTTGTCAGAAACAATGAAGGATCAACACTTCGGATATCACGGGGACGAAGACCTGAGGATGAAAATTAACACTCATAACCCAGAAAACAGCAATAGAAATAAGTCCCAAAAGGCAAACACTTTTTAGCAATAAACCCACATTAATGTTGCTAGCAGTTTAAATACAACGGTCATGGATAAGCATATTTATTTTCAACAACACCACACGTGCAATTTTCTATAATAAATTGATTAATTAATTAAATATACTCACCACTTGACTTCAATAGCTGACGTCTGTTGATTTTTCTAGTAGATATCGTCCCATTAGTCTTCACTACTTCCACCTACAAAATAAACAAATTAAAAATAATTGGTTAATGATGTGGATTAGTTCATTAATCACAGTTCACAAGCGCTAATACGAAATCTGCCTGCAACAACAGACCTCGTAGACCGGCTCACGAATCCCAAGCGACAGAGAATCACTTGTCGTAACCCTCAACGAACCACCACTCCTTGTCGCCGTCTTCGTCGTCGTCGAGGCATGGTGCTGGCTGTTGACCTGAACCTCGTCGTCTGATCTAGCTTCTTCGTCATCGGATGGGGTTTCAGGCTCGCTGAACCGGTCCTCCTCGGTCGCCGATCTGAAGCACTTAGGTCTCGGCGAGAGCGAGACGGAGAGCTTGAGCGAAATTGGAGAGAATGCAGAGAGCTCGGTCCTTGATCTGAGTTGGGAGCAGAAGAGCTGAGAGGAGTGGGATGAAGAGTGGAGCGGGAGGTGGTGGAGGAGCGGCCATGGATTCAAAGCCATTACAGAGTGCGAGAGCTCTGGTTGCGACCATGTATATGGGGTCGTTGGGCGGGGTTTGGGTCTCCGCAACGAACAAATGGATTATTGTGGATATTTTATTTTTAAAATATCCTCATTCGTTAATTTTTCTCCTTTTTATATATTTTATTTTATTACAGTTGGTGTTCGGTTTTCTGGTTACAATATTTAACATGATTTTTACTCTCTCCTATCAAATTGGGGTCATTTTCTTTTCTTTTTGGGAAAGATTGGGGTCATATTTCTCCTAAACATTTTACTATTTTAGCACTCTTTTATTGGAGTGAATTTTCACTCTAAATATTTCTCCTAAACATTTTGCTACATTTAGTCCTCTAAAAAATGATTTTATAAGAAATAGTGTTAGACTGCATTTTAACCGTCTCCATCATAAAAGAACTAAATTTAATATTTTAATAATTTTTAGTATATTATGTAAATTTATTAGTTAATTTAATTAAACTACTATTTATATCCTATATAAAATACATTTTAGAAGTGAAAAATATTTTGTGATAGGATTTTTGACATCCACCTGTCGATACGTGATTAGTGCTATAGATTTATGATTAGATTTTTTTCTTGCTTAAAAACAACTTAAAAATTAATTTAAATGGAAAAAGATGAATGATAGTTTGTAAAAGAATGAAAAGGATTTTGAGAAATTATGTTGAAGGATGAAAATGAGGAAGGATAATATGTAATATGATGAAGATGTTGTGAGAAATTATGTAAGAATGAGGTAGGTAAAATCATTTTTTTCATATTAAAAAAATACAAAATAAGCTAGCTGACGTCACTTAGTGTCTAGGTGACATCAACTAGGCTCCATCCAATTATTTAACCCGGGTTGGCCAAAGGGCCACATTTGGCCCTCATTTTAGGAATTGGCCCTTTATGTAGCCCTCCCTTTTTCTCGTAGCCATTTGTGTAGCCCACTCTTGGAGACGGTTTACTTTTGAGAATTAGCATCATAATATTCCAGAGGACATCAATAGCAAGGTAACTATTCTTAACCATTTAGAACTGACATCATAGTATTTCACAAAACAATCATTTTACATTGATATCATAATATTGCGCAAAACAATGAGTGCAAGATAACTACTCTTAAACATTTTGAGCTACAAGTTTTCTGCTAGTTGAGTCGACTAGGATGACAAAAATGTAACTCTGTCATTTTCTTTTTCCTTTCTATTTTTTCATTTTTTGTGTGGATAAAATCTTCTAGTTTTTCTCCTATGGGTTGCAAAAATTTAGCAACAACTTGGCAATGAAAGGAACAATTATTAAATCCAAAAGAAAGTACTTTGAAGTATTTTACCATTAAAGTAAGTTGTTTTGGTCAATAGTGTGGAATGGATTACTGGAAAAAGAAAAAAGAAAAAAAATCTATTTGATCCGAAGAGAGAAGATAAAAACAGAACTGCCCGGAAAATTTGAAAACAGAGGGAAACCTAAGCAGACAAACAGAACGACGCTCGTTTTAAGCTGGTGGTAATGGCGGTGGACGCAAAATCAGTACCTTTAGAAGACCAAGAAGAACAAGAACGACAAGTGCAGCGCCATGATGCACCTGCACATAACCCTTCTGCTCCGCCTGATGAGGTAGCCATCAACGGCTCTCGTTTTTCTCAATTCAATTATTCCGTTCAGTTTGCACTTAACCCTTAATAGTTTTGGAGTATTTGGGGTTCTGGGATTCGATTATTCTTCTTGAAATTTATAAGAAAGCTAAGAATTTAAATTCCTCTTGAATTTGGGTTTTAGTTGACTAAAAACATCGACTAGAAGGGCACCTATGATGTGGGTATTATATGTTTTTCCAATTTATTCACTGTTAAAATGTCTATGCAACTTAATTATATATTGGTTAGGATATGAAAAATGATTACCTCTACTAAATACTACTGACCCATTACATTTGAAATGCATTTTGATATTAGTAAAAATTATGCTTACACATCCTAGTCCTTAAGCATTTAATTGTTCTAGTCTTATTATTATTATTATTATTATTATTATTATTTCTGTATACTCAATGACGCTGTTCGTCACTCTATCCATGAATCCTTCTTTCAATAAGGTAAAGTGGGTTTTAGTCTTTGGCCATGGCACAAAGTTACATTTTCAGTGAGCCTAGTATATTTCATCATATTTTGACTAAGCACGCAAATTTGTGTTGATGACAAGCACATGCTGCACACACACAAATACATGTATATATGCGTGCATACATAGACATAAGTTATGGAAACTTGTGTAAGAGTAAGATTTCGTGCATACTGACATAATTTTAATGTTTAAAATGTGTTTCTGTGCATACATTCCAGTTATTTGACATCTCAACAACAGTAGATCCTAGTTATGTTATCTCTCTGATACGGAAGCTTCTACCGGCTAATGCAAGTAATAATCACAACTCGCATGGTGATGTTTTTGATGCCCATGTGCGAGGATTAGATACTGATCATACAGATAAGACTGCTCCCACTCTGTCTGGAGATAGACTTCTGCACGTATCAAATGATGGACCTGAGAGCATGGAAATTGCGGATGATTTTCATAAAAGTGCTCCTGATGAAGGAGAAAACAATGGTTCATATGATGGAGCTGAACAGTGTGACCATGGTGTCCCATTGGCTGAAGAGGCTTGGGAAGAATATGGTTGCATTTTATGGGATCTTGCTGCAAGTAAAACTCATGCAGAACTCATGGTGCGTGGGATTTTTTTTTCATTGTTGATTTCTCTTGATTGCTTCTTTTTTAATTTGATTTGTTTGGAATTTGATGCGTCATTCTCAGTTTTCATAATGTTGAGCCCAATTAATTGGAAGACAAGTTCGTTTGATGCAAAAACCAGAAACTGTAGCCTTAGTCATTATTTATTTATTTATTTTCGCAATATTGATTCTTAATGTGATGTGATGATTATGACATTTAACAATGATAAAGGCAATTGCTACTTTATCATTTCAACTTCTTGCAGTGTCAACTCTAGAACTATTTATTGTAAAGAATATCATATGCAATGGCCATACTTTAGTGGTTTTACAAAAAAATATGTGCTGGATTTGTAGTTTTGTTTTGTTCTAGGCTTCTAGCTTCACATGTAGCTATCTGGTTATTGTTTCTCTAGTCTAAACTTGTACTTTTTTCATATTTTATTTACTGGGGTAGACTTTAAAATTATCTGTGCAGGTGCAAAACCTTATACTTGAAGTGCTTTTAGCGAACCTTATGGTTTCACAATCTGTGCGTGCCACGGTTAGACAAATTCCTCCTCTTCTATGACATCCTTTTTATGTTTTGAGTTGAAATTCTCTCTCTCTCTCTCTCTCTCTCTCTCTCTCTCTCTCTCTCTGTGTAGAAACTAATGTCATTGCTAATGCAGTGTTTGAAGTTCTGTGCATTTGGCTATATTCTCTTTTCTTATTCCAGGAAATCACCCTTGGAATTATTGGAAACCTTGCCTGTCACGAAGTTCCCATGAAACATATAGTCTCTACAATTGGATTAATTGGAACGGTTGTGGATCAGTTATTTTCAGAGGATGCTCAGTGCTTATGTGAAGCCTGCAGGTATGTACAAGTTTCATCTATTTTCCCTTGATTTGGTATGTGATATTTTATGTTTCCTCGTTTTCTGTTCTATTATGTTGTATCATGTGTGTATTATTGTCCCTCTTTTGCATTTCTTCCTGCATTTTCCTTGGCTTGGTGAGGAAATTTATCACCTTCAAATTCATTTTTAATCCTGTTGTTACAAACCATTATCTGTGTGGTATGCAAGGACAATACATACTCTATCTTTCATATTCCAGTACCACTAGTGTATGATACAGAGTTTAATAATTTACATGTTCTAAATCATACTACAGTCACGCTATAATCTACTCTTACAATTGTTATATTGACACAGGCTGTTAACTGTGGGTCTTCAAAGTAGTGAACGTTCATCTTGGGCCAAAGAATTGCAGTCTGAACATAATCTGAGCCGCATTTTATGGATTGCGGAAAATAGCTTAAATGCACAGCTTATAGAAAAGGTAGCAGATATCTTATATATTCAGCTTTCACTCATATGAATTTGGTATGCCATCACTTTTTGTAGACACATGCATGTGTGAAAAGCTTTTTGCCTGAGTCCTTTGGTTATTCTTGTTTATGTCATGGCAGTGTTTGCCCGACGCTTGTAGTGTTTCTCACTTTTTGATGAATAATTTACAAAAAGCAGTCTTAGGAATGATATACCAATACACTTCACCAAAGAGAATATCATCAACTATAAAGTCAAAAAGTCTCTCTGTCAACTCTGTTAAAATGTGGGGAGTGGCATCCGTAGTGGCTACAGAGTTGCTTGATTAATCACAATATGGATTAAAGAAACTGGAAAGTGAGAGCATTTAATTATAAAATACATTTATTTTATGTAATTAATATACTGTTATTTAGTGGATAGAGCTTAATCAATTGATTTCTAAAATCATAAATTGTTTAAAGGACCTTACGGTCAAAACAACTTTTGACCAAAGAAACAGTGATAACTTTGGAAAGTTTTAAAATTAATATTAATTTTACTGGTTTGCTTAATGTTTAAATTTTTCTAAATTGTGTGTAATTTGAAATAATCATATGGTGTCAACAACACCTTGATAAGAAAATGCTTAGGATGTACACCTTGAATGGTGTCAATTACTCTCTTGGTATTGATACTTTAGATGGCCAAAGACTGTTCAAACATATCAATGAGTCACTTATTATTTTCTATTTTACAAGTTGGAATATGTAAGTTTGTTGCCTTGCTGACCTTGCTTTTTTATCAGAGTGTTGAACTCTTGTTAGCCACCATTGAAAGTTCAGAGGAAGTTGTGCTTATTCTCCTTCCACCTTTAATGAAGCTGGGCTTAGCAAGTCTATTAATAAATCTCTTGGATTTTGAAATGAGGCAATTATTGAGTGAAAGAGTGCCTGAAAGGTGTGTAGACACTCCATCTGCAGTTAAAGAGCTAACAAAATAAATACACAATTGCTAGATTAATTTTTTTTTCTTATGTGCATGGAAAACTGTGCACATTTTTGTGTGTGGGTAATTTCATGTTTCATGGAAGCTGTTTCTTTTAATGTTTATATTATGTATGCCTCAAATTGGTTCTCCATTTATTTCACAGATATTTTGATGTTTTCTTTTTGACTGATATTGAAGAAAAATTTGGTTGTCTTACATTAGTTTTTCTAGACAGTAGTTTTGTTGATCATGATAATTCCATATGCAACTTATTGCCTCGTGTGAAGTTTTCTATATAAAATGTATTTGTAAGTCTTTTCCCTGAAGTCTACTTGCATATTTATTTGATATATTTTCATTTTGGTAAAATACCAGGTACCCGGTTCTTGATGTAATCCTCCGTTCCATTGAAGCTCTTTCTGTTATTGATGGTCATTCCCAAGAGATTTGTTCAAACAAGGATCTTTTTCGGCTAGTTTGTGACCTGGTCAAACTCCCTGATAAAGTTGAGGTACATTATCACTTGGAAACTTTGAACTGTGGGTATACTATATGACGTCCATATTTATGAAATTGTTGGGTGGTGCTCTTTCCTTCACTGCTTCGGCTAATAATCTGGGAATTGGTATTCTGCTGAATTCTTTTAACTAATCAACAGTTCAACATACAGGATTAATATTCTTTGTTTTCTTATAAATTTTAAGAACTATCTGTTCTTTGTATTAAAGAAATCTAGAGGCTAACATACGAATCAGTATGTGTGTTGAAGTGACTGCTTACAAATGCTACCCTTTCTTGAAACCATGTTCTGGAAAGGTTATTCTATATCAGGGAGTAATCTGTGCAACTGGATCTTTGATTCAATAGATATTTTGGTAACTTGTCCAAAATTTATAAGGAAAAAAAAACCTCTGTGCAGTATGTAATTCTTAATAAATTTTTCAAAAATAATACGAGCACGAAAATGAGGGCTTTGAAAAGAAAGAAAATGATGTAGCAAAGATCTTGATAATAAATAACGGAATTATGACATATGTAAATATCTTAAACTGAATTATGCAATAGATGTGTGGATATTGATATTCTGACTTAAGTGTAGTAATGCTGTTGACCACGAGATAGTAGAATCTTTTCTCAAAGTTGGAGCCAGTTAATTCTTGTGAAGTAAAGGGAGGTGCGACAATTCAAAATGTAGTTATCAAATACTGTTGAGCCGAAAATAAAGACATTAAAAAGGACAAAGAAACATGCTAAAGTATTTCCTACTTTTTCCTTCTAGTTCACCATTTCATATGCTGGAAAAACAACTTTATATGGTGATCAACTACCACTGGACAAAAAATTTCTTGTGTAGGTTGCAAATTCTTGTGTCACGGCTGGAGTTCTAATTGCAAACATTCTTTCAGATGAACCAAATCTAGCTTCAGAGATATCACAGGGTAAATTGTTTTCTTTTCTTTTGTTTTAAAGTTACCATCTGATTCTTTTGGTTTAATAACACCAAATGAAGTGGAAGTGACACTATATATCCATCCAGATTTGCCTTTCTTACAGGGTCTGCTTGACATATTTCCCTTTTCTTCGGAGGATTTGGAAGCTAGGAGTGCACTCTGGAACATCATTGCAAGGTTACTGGTTAGAGTTCAGGAAAATGAAATGAGCCGATCAGCTCTCCAGCAGTATGTTTCGGTTCTAGTTAGCAAATCTGATGTGATTGAAGATGATCTTCTGGACTCCCAATTAGATGAATTAAACTCAAAAGCTAGAACTACATCTGTATCCTGTTCTGACTAGCAGTAACAACGCAATAAATTGGCAATATAATCTTATTTTCCTGCCCTATGTGAGGTTCGTATTGTTTCACATATCAAGTTCTGTGTCCTGCAATATTTTCTTTTTCCTTTACTTTTGCTACAGCTTAGAAGGATCATCAGTCTTTTAAATCAGTGGACTGCTTCAAAGGATGATGACAAAGAGAATGAAATGATGGGCAACCGACATGCGGATGATATAAACATTGATAGATTGTTGGATTGCTGTTGTAAGCATTCTGAGTAAGTTGTGTTCCTCTGTTCTTAATTTTTCACGCTTTTATGAATCCTCAAAGATATCTTGTTTTAAACTGTTCTCATTACTTGACATCATTATCTTTGTGTCACATCTAAAGGCCTAACCATCTAAAGGCCTGTACTCATCCATTGTTTCTGTTCTCTTCATAAGGCCTAACAAATCTGTTCTCATCTAAATAGGCTAACAAGTCCTTTTATGCCCCCTCCGTGTGAAGAAAATCTAGGAGGGGAGAGATGGAGAAGTTTTAAAGCAGTGTGTACTCCCTATTATCTTCTGAAAAATGAAGCAGAGCCTAACTAGATTAGGTCTATACACAAGCATTTTCTGGCTACCTCCTTGGGAGGAGGCCTGACTTTGGATTGGGCGGACACCTTTGGCCAGGAGAAACTTTGGCAGTTGGTACTGGTAGGCTTTGTAGTCTGTTTGAAATCCAAGCGAGGTTTGAAGATGAAGAAGACGGAAGGGCATTTGGGGCGAGAGGGCAAGAGTACTTGGTTGAATTTAATTATTTCCAAGCCAATCTTGTAATGGTCAGAGTGATTTGTGGGCTGTATAAAAATCTTCTAATTTTGACATCAAAAGTAATTGGCAAATCATACTGCTTTCTCTGTGTTGTTTTCATAGTGTTTGTTGATGTCTTATAATATGATATCTGATCATAATAATTGAAAGCTGATTTCTTTGTTTGGCCTTCTGGTGTGTGCTTGGATGGTAAGAAAATCAGAAGAGATAGATAAATTTTTCCTTTTCTTTTTTGGTCCGAATCGATAAACTGTTCTTTATCTCTGATTTTGTGCGTACTTTCTTGTGTCAAATGAATTAATTATGAAAGATCACATATCCTGTTTGGAACGACATTTTAAAGTTTCGGTTCATTGATGCTGGTTGATTTTTTGTCCACTGATCTTTATTGACAAGGTCATGACTTTGTATCTTTCAGGTATGTACAGCCTGCAGTTTCTCAGGACATGGACTTCAAAGAATAGACCAGAGTCACAGCGACAAAGGTTTGTTACAAAATATCACTAGGAGGAACACAATTTCTTTGGATCTCCAACAGGAAAAAGAACATAAAGTTGTAAGAACATCAAGTTGTAAGAACATCATTGCCGAAGACCCAAACTGCACCTCAAACACCGCCGAGGCAAGGCTGGAACAGATGGTGGGACTGTCAACCTACCGTCCACCTTATCATACAAAGTACTCATAAACTAAGCAGAGGGGCCAAATATGATCAGTTCAAAGGTACTCCAGGGTCTGTATGAGCTATGTAACTATCAACCCCGATCTTGTACATGTGACATTTTGTCAAACAAAGAGTTCAAAATGTGAAGGGTCTTCACCTTGTTTAGGCACTTAATAAAAACAAAATTTTCTTTGTTTGGGATCTGCACATGTGGTAAATCATCTTTCTATCTCTGCTAAATCGTCTACGAAAAACAAAAAAGAAAAAACAAGGTTACACAGGTCCTTCCATTAAGGGCCGATAGAACATTTTGTACGCCTCCAAAACTTCAAGGTACCACATTGCCTCTCGATCAGGGGAAGCCGAAAGATCAACCATCTTGTGAACCTGATATTCAGAAACAATGGCAATTTAAATTTCAGTTCTTCAAATTACTTGAAATTGCTCATGTATGGTATGCAATGCCCATTTGGGCAAAAATATGCTTCAAATGAAGAGGACTTCATTAAAGTCGCAATTTTAAGAATGGTATCATCTCCGACAAGCTTCTTCAAATCTTTCTTACAAAGGGGAAATTACTGCAAAAATTTTAGTTCCCCCAGGTTGGAATTTTCAATTTTATTTTACCACTAGGGAAAAGGGTTTTGAATTTGGGAATTCTTCCACTGAGGGAAGAGGGTACAACTAGACCAAGAGCTAGTTGGTAACCATGCCGGGACTTGAAACAACATTACATGTATCACATTTACAGATCAAGTTAGTGATCACATTCACATAGCTCAGTACGACCCAAATAAGTTATTTGGGTCCTACAATGTGATCATAAATGTGGTGTAAATGATTTTACTTGAGACTTCCACTAACATTTCTATGAGCCAAATTCAATTCCTGTATTCAATCAAACATATTATAAGGCTACACCTACAAGTTACTTGTAGCTTAAATAATTGTTCCTAATCTTGATATCATCTTTTACATTTACCTGGATCATTGGGGGCTCATCCGCACGGACCATGTAGCGTCCAACAACCATTACATACATTCCTGCATTACCAAAAAAAAAAGAAAAAAAAAGAAGCAAATGCAAATTAGCAGGTGCTAAAATGGGCACAAAGAAGACGCGGGAATGCTTAAGTGCGCCGGGGGTGGTGGTTACCGATATTCCAAGGGCGGCCGCGAAACTCGGGTCTGAGGGAGAGCTCGATGACGCCGGTGCCGTCGTCGAGATACAAGCACTCTCCGTCGGCGGAGATGTGGACCAAAATGCCCTGCCGGAGGTAATGAAGTAATAACAGGGAAAGAAGAGGGCTAATTTGGGAAGATTGGAAAAATGAAAAGATTAAAATTATAAATATTAAAAAAAAAAAAATAAAAAAAAAAAAAAGGGGGGCGTAGGGGGAGGAAAAGAGAAAGAGGAAGGTGATCTTCGAACCTGTAACCAGGCACGTTGGAATATGATGTTGTGCAATTCCATGGCATTCTCGGAAGAAGTTTCTTGCGCGTCTTTCAGTTGGACACACAGCAGCTTCAGAGCAGCTAGGTTGTAGTCCATCTCTCTCTCTCTCTCTCTCTCTGAAACCCAAAACGCAACCACGCTTAACTTGAGAGAGTGCGTTTTGGGATTATATAAGGAAAATGAGAGCCAAATTGTTGCATTTCAAATTCCATGAGAAATGAAGCAGCGGTGTAGTTTCCAAAGTACATTATCAGCCCATTTAGCTCTTTTTTATTTTTTTGGGTAGCATTTTAGTCTCTTCATCACATAAATTATAGGAAGATAAATAGATTTTGTCAACCAAAAAAAAGATTTGTCTGCTATTTGTTGTATGCGCTTTCTTTTGCTTTTACCCAAAAAAAAAATAAAAATAAATAACTGGCCGTTAAAGTGCCCTTGTGGTCTTGGGTTCGAAGGTTGGTACCACGTTCTCAACAAATAGAAGACGCTAGTCATATCACATTTATATACCACATTGTGTATCACTTTTCTAATAGAGGTGAGTTCCATTGTATTGGTGGGCTTCATCTTTATTAAAGAAGTGGTATACAATATGGTATGCAAATGTAGTATGCCTAGAATTGCTCTTTACAATTATTACAAAACTAATGTCTTTTTTAGATAGAGCGATCAACTAATCTGGTCTGGGGGTTGGAGGTGCACACTAGGGGATTTGAACTGGTGTCATGGGGTTTGCAAACAAACACCTCTACAACTGAGGTAAACACCCATTGGCTACTGCAAAATTAATGTTAAAAATTTTGTATCATGGGTGAAATTGCAAATATCATTAGAATCCTTTTATTCTTTCACCGAATTGATTTGATAATAAAAATTTCACATTGATAACTTGGAAATAAACAAATGCGGCCCTATTTTCTTTTAGTCCACTACAATCTGGCTAGAGCCAAAAAAAACTTATTTATCTTATATTTTCAATTTTTTTTTTTCTTTATCTCTCTTATCACGTGATGAAATATATGTATGAAACATGAGATATGCAGGTTTTACTCCACTAGGAGGCTAGGCAGTATATAGATGTCTCTCAATGCAACAAATCTTATTCCTTTTTTTTTTTTCCCACTTAATAGACACAATCTATTCTGATGCACAAAAAATAAATAATTTTGTTGTCACTTTATATTCCTTCGACAATATTTTTTTAATTAAAAAATAAAAAAGCACACCAACTCATTACATTATGTGGTGTAATTAACAGCCAACAGCCCCAACACCAATTAATTAATTGTAAATTCGAAATCAAACAGGAAAAAGTAAATAATTTAATTTAGAAGATGAGGGAGATGCCACTGCTCAGCAAATCATCGGCTAAAACTTTGTTTGCAGCTTCCGAAGGATGAACACTATCCCAAAACACATACTCTGATGCATTAGCGCACGTGCCAATTGACTCGGCATTGCACAGTATTGATGTTTCTACCAGGCCTGTTCCACAACATGCCTTCCTTGCCTCAAAGAACCCTGTAAATTAATCACACAAATTATTAATAAAGTTGTGTGGGCTCGTCTACCAACATTTACAAAATTAGTTTTGGAAAGTAAAGATTAGAAAACGAATTTGTATTTTTAAGATTCGTGACGATATTGTGCAAAAATAACTTATAACAACGAAAACAATAAAAGAAGGCAAAGAGAGCGTAAGAAAGGGGTTATAATAAGGGGGTTAATTAATAGGCACTAGGTCAATTGGAGAGCTATTATTGAACCCCTAAGCACACCTCCCTTACCATAACCCCCTCATTGAAGAAGCTCCATAAAAAAGGGCCTTGACGTACCATTTTCGGCAGGCTTTGTGACAAGGTTGTAGAGAGGTTGGTAGATATCAAAGATGACCAAATTGAGACCAGAAAGTTGCTTTTGCAAGTTCTGAGATGTGGCATTGAGCTTGTTATTAAATGAGACAGCATCCTTGTTAAACTTAGCCAAGCACTCATTGCTATCCTCCCCAAATATTGTGATGACTGCTGGCAAGCATCCTAGTGGTGGCAATGTGGTCACTCCAATTTTCCTTGCTCCCAATGCATATAGATTCTGTAACAAAGGCAATTTAATTTAGTATAAATGTCCCCTAAATGTAACCACACTAATTGTCACGACCCAGCGCAGGCCACCTCAGCGCTATATTCTAAAAGGACTAGTCACTAATTAGGCTTCCTGCAATCGCTTATAAAGCCCAGATTGACCCAGCAGTTTATCGATGTGGGATTTAACACGCCAACCTGGAGTGTTACGTACAATGAGAACCAATGTAATCTGGCCTTGGTTTAATTGGTCCGAAAATCAAAATTCTGTTATTTTTTTCTAGACGGTGGCAGTGATATTTCTCTAATTCCCAATATTAGAAGAAGTGCCAAGTTCAAAATACCACCTCCTCGTTGATTCGAAACGAAATATGCAGGAAAAAGAATTGTGATCTACCTGAATAAATTTTGCATAAGATTGAATGAGAATGTCGGAGAACTGGTTGGCTGTGTAGACCTTGTAAAGAAGAGGATTAATGTAGTAGTTCTGAACAAAGTCACTACTGCCAGCACTAACAAGGTAGATAGCACCAGATATGATTGATGTAAGATTGGCCTTTCCTGCAATTCCCACCACCTTGTTTTGGTATTCCTTGTAGTTCTCCAGCTGCTGATTTAGTGGAATTGTATGCTGCAAAAACCCAACATTTATACAAGACAATTTATAAACATCATGCAATGTGCTTGTGTGAAAGAGAGATTTTTAACTAGCTAGTTAGCAATATTGAAATATTTTTTTACATATAATTTTGCTGTAGAGTCATAATAGCCAGAACCAGCTGAGGCAAAATTGGCACCAATCAAGAGGTTTTTTCCTGCAGCTTCTTTGCTAAGATAAGCTGGTGGGTAGGAAGTAAAGCCAAGGTTTTCAGCTGTAGCCAAAGAAAACAAAGCAAACAAGCAAACCAAACAAAACCCAATTAGAGGACCAAAAGATATTGTCTAAAAAGGAGAGTGAGAAATGCATGGATTCTCTGAGATAAGTAGGTACCAGTGAAGTCTGAAGCAAGCTTTCCATTGCAGAACCTCCCAGTTGGCTTGTGGTTGGCAAAGTCTCTTCCATAAGGAGGGAAGTCGGCTTTGATTATGGTTTTGACATTGTTGTTATTACCAGCATCCACAACAGAGTCTCCAAATAGGAACAATGCAGGAACCAAAGGCTGCCCATGAGCCAGAGAGAGTACCATAATCAAAAGAGAAAAGGAAGCTAAGAAAGAGCACAAAGAGCCCATGCTTTTCAGAATCTTTTTGCAGAGTTGAGACTCTTTTTTCTTTGGCCTTTTTGATTAGTCAGAAGTGAGACTTTGGTCAAGAAAGAATTTGAAGATGGGTTACTGAGGAAGGGGGATATTTATAAAGAATTTGGAGAAGGGGCTATAATTAAAGTTATAATTAAAGTCCAAATTAAACTAGTGGAGGGGGAAATCGAACCTAAGACGGGTGCAGGGGTAAATGCTCTTAACTACTTAGCTACAAGCTCCTTTCACAAATATTTTGTAGTATTAGGCCATGTGTAACACTGCAATAATATTGCCTCAAGAAGAGATAAACCCTTTAAAGAGAAATCTTTGACAGTGCGTTGTGAGATTTCTTGGGGTACTTGCTAGTTAGGCAGAAATGCTAGACAGTAAGTAACTAGAGAATAAACATATGGACACCTACCACTAATATTTGATTGGGGAGAACTGAAAAACCAAACTTGCCCTCTTGACATTCATAATAGATCCACAATTTGATAGGGGCAAAAATGTCATTTAACTCCAAAATCAATAGAGGTTCAAAAAAAAAAAAAAAACAAAGGGAGTGGTTCGTGGAGTGTCCTAGTGAATTGTTCTTTGAGCTGTCATGGCTTCTAGTATACCTTTTAGCATACCCTTTTTCAAAGTGAGAAAACTTCAATGAACATTGGCACTTGAATTTAAGACACATATATTGCTGCAAGCAGTGCTGACAAGTTTTTTCCCCTTCAATAATTTTGTATAGTGTGCCCTTACCAATTTCAATGGCAGTTCTCCAATCACTGTCGAACCCTTAGAAAAATTTACTGCATACCTGAAACACAGCTATTGAGACTTCCAGTTGCTCATTTATTGGTGGCACCTGCAATAGTTTCAGGTTTTTGTTGGGTTTTTTTTTTCTTGTTCCTCAAGATCTTCTGGTATATGATAGAGTATGACCTGTTTTTTCTTTTAACATTTAACTTCTTCTGATTTGTATGCTAGCTGTTAAGATTATATGATTAGTTTAATCATCACATGGTGCTAGCTACTTTCAAAAAAGAAAAGAGAAAAAAGGCTCAGTTAGGTTTAGCTATACCTGAAAAGAGTCCTCAGCAAGCCATTAGGAGGCCTACTAAATTTCAGCCCATTGATAGGTAATGTCTTCAAAATTTTGCAAACGACAACTGTATTATTATCCTTGAAAGCTTCAGATAAGTTGCCACTTTCCAAGAACTATAGTGGACTATTTCCACAATTGCCTTAAGTCGCTATTCTTCTAATGAAGATGTTTCAATCACAGCCTCATGCAACATCATGTACATCTCTTGCAGATCACATTTTAGAGGAGGCTCCCTGCGAATAAGGTAGCATTTGGAACACCGAGCTACCACGACGGATCCAGTTCGGTCCAGTTTTTCTCTCGAATTGGAACTAAAATCAAAACTTATACACAGTCCAATTTGGTTCGGTTAAATTTTTATAGAAAGTGTATAGAAGAATCGAATCAAATCGGAATCGGCCAAACCAGACCTAAGCGGTTCCGATTAGGTTCAACCCTATTTCTGGTTTGGAAATTCAAAATATAAAGATGTGGAGAAGAGATAAATAGGAAGTATAAAACAAAAATAGGAAGAAAAGAAAAATATGTAGAATAGATAAAATAAGATAGAAAGATGTAAAAGAGATAAAATAAAAGAGAAAGAGGTGAAGAGATAGTGAGGAAGAGAAATAGAAAGAAATAGGTGGAAAAGAGAAAGACGAAAGCGCACCAAGAACAGGTATGGTTCACCGAAAAGAAAAAAAATTGGACTAGAGTAGTTATTTAGTTGAGTATAACTAAGACATTTGTGTATTAGTTGGCCTAAAATATCTAGATATTACCTAGAGTTACTAATGTTTTATTTGAGTATTAATTAGGTATATTAATAATTTTGGATATAAATGAATAAGTAAACTTAACATAACCAGTTCGGTTCAGTTTAGACTTATTTTTTCAAGATAAGAACTGAAACGGAAGCCGATCCAAAATGATCCAGTTCGGTTTTTGAGCATAGGTTGACTTATTGGTCAACAAGGTCTTTTTAGTTTTTTTGACTTAGTTTGGCTTAGTTCACAAGTTCATCGATTAAAATGTCCACCCCTAATTTTGCTCCAACCGAATATGGTAGAGCTAAGGTACCAAACAATCTCAATATTTGGTGGATTCTTCCGGAATCTACCAAGCATAAACATGCATGCAAAACAAACCAATTAATTAAGTACTTGAATTAAACACACCACATACTTGCAAGCGACCAGAGGTACCCAAATATTCAATACAGCCACATATTAATGTATGAAAAATGAAGTCATAAAACTTATATATCAGGAGGTTACCATAAAGTAATTGTTGGTAAGACACAGTATCGAAAAGTCTTAAACCAAGGTGGTTGGTGTGAGTGGTTCGGCACTCTCATTCCTTAAGAGAGGTCAGGGGTTCGATCCCTGCTCTCGTACGGAGTCACCACTTTGGCCAACACTTTACCCCTTACGGGCCGACTCGGTGTGAGTGGGGATTAGTCTGGGTTGTGGTGAAGGCTTAAAGGTGCCACCCATAGTTGGGGCCCATCCAGGACCACCTCATGGTTTAGACCAAAAAAAAAAAAAAAAAAAAAGTCTTGAGAGTACTATCCCACGTCAAAAGTGAAAGTTTATACCCTCCCCAGCTCTATCTTCTCCAGCAACTCCATTAACCTAAACCCTAAAAAATAATTTTTTAAAATAATTTAACTGAAAATTTGATGAAATGTTGATGATTTAGATGGTAGGGGGAAATTGGAGGAAAAAAAAAGTTAATATCCTTAATTTTCTTAAAAAAAGGATAAGGGGTGAATTGAAAGTTAGGTACAAGTTCATGGGACAAATCACTAGTTAAACCTATTAAGAATTCCTAGCGAACATGGAATTCTCCGCCAATGGGCCTTATTTTATATAATAATTAAATAGACTAAGCCCATTGGGCTTGGTTTGACTGAGCCCATTGTCTATAACTAAATAGACCTTTTTGGGCCCTCATTAGCCAAGTGTCATCATTTAGAGCCCGAAATTAATACTATTAGGGCAAGAATTCTATAGCGATGCCCTTATAAGCCTCTTATATGAGACTCTATCTATTAACTGTTAGATTAAATTGATTAGTTGTTGGATCAAATTGATTAGTTTGGTCCACCGGTTAAGAGAGAAGACCCCACTATAGAATGACTCACCATTAGGGATGCCTTTTTGGTCCTGGGCTGTATATTTGAGAGCCCCATAGTGGTTGAGCCCTAAATAGACACTCCATTGGGAATGGCCGAAGGCAAAATTTTATTTTACTTCTATCTTGGATAAGAAAGACTTCAATATAAGAGCATGTCTAATAAGGGCAAGGGGATAGGTGCTGTTTTAGCCCCTCAAAATGGGTACTATTCACAAAATTTAGCCTCTCAATTTTTTTGTGGTTCTTGTATTTGTGAAGGGGCTATGGGCTAAAACTCAAAACTTTTTATTTTAATTTATTATTATTTAATTTGTGATAAAAATCAAAGCATAAGAAAAGCAACATGCATAAATTTATTTTGGAAACAATTTTGAGCCATACTTTGGAACAACAATTTTGAGCAAAACGAAAAAAGATAAACAAGTAGAAATGTTTCGAGTAATTGAGAGATATTTTAGGTGAGAACATGATGAACAAATAGTTAGGTTTTTATAGAGTTGTGAGAAAAAAAAAATGCTGAACTAGTTGGGAACTGAAGAAAGAAAAAAAAATAGCAGGCCAACAACTAGGGGCCATTGCATTTGAGAGCACCACATGACAGCTCCTCAATGGTTGTTGGAGTCAGCTTTTGCTGCTCCTTTTTTTCTTTTCAGAAACTGATAGTGGGCCCCTTATCTTGCATGAGCTAGCAGGTGGGTAAAACTAGCCCGTCATCTTGCATTAGGCCAAATTGGACTAAACTAAACATATGCATTAGAAAGTGAATTTTTTTCATTTGAAGTTAGATGTGGACCTAGCCCAGACCTGATCAGTCCCATTAGGGCACTTCCAGCAGTTGTCATGGCAAAGGGCAAGTACTTTTCAATTTTTTGTTTTTTTCACAAATTTGTTTACCTAAACAATTAATTTGGACAATATTTTCGGATGAGATTTTCTGATATAATATTCGGATAAGATTTTCAGACTGGGTATTATCACCTATGAAATCAACAATACCGTCTACCAGACTAGGTATTATCTAGTTGACGGCATCTACCCAAGGTGGACAACATTTGTGAAATCACTTCCACATCCCCGAACCCAGAAGCAAAAATTATTTGCTGTCTATCAAGAGGGTTACAGAAAAGATGTGGAGAGGTGCTTTGGTATCCTCCAAGCTCAGTGAGCGATCATTAGGGGTGCGGCGCGTATGTTTGATGAGGAGGTGTTGAGGAGCATAATGATGACATGCATCATCCTCCATAACATGATTGTGGAGGATGAGTATGATTACGGTGCTGAAAAGGTGTACGAACCGGATCCCATGAACACGGCCTTGACAAGAATTTATGAAAAACCCATAGGGCCAAATGGAGAACCATTGGAGCATGAACCGTTGGTTAGAGATGGTCGTTTCATGAACCGTATGATTGATCGATATACGGAGATGCAATTGTCGTATATTCATGAACGCCGTCAAGTTGACTTAATGGAGCATTTATGGGCGGTGAAAGGCAATGATGGTGAATGAAGTGAAGTGAAGATGTTTTTTAAGATTTTAATGTTTATGTTTTATGTTTAGTTATGTTTGGTTTTTTTATGCTTTGGCGTGTGGTTGGTTTGTTTTTATATTTTTAATGCTTTGGTTGTGGTTAGTTTTTTCATGTATGGAATGTTTTGAATAAAAAGGAATTTTATTTAATAGTTTCGTTGGTAACTAAAAGAAAACCAATACTACTAATAAAATAAAATACATGAATTACAACTAATTTTTAAAACAAAACATTAAAATACAATGAAATGAAAAGGTAAACAAACTAACTTAAGGGTTTCCATCATTTAAGAGGAAAAGCCATAATATTAA